AGGAGAGAGAGAAACATCGATGTGAGAGAAACACATCGATTGGTTGCCTCCCACATGTGCCCTGATCGGCAAGGGAATGAACCGGTAACCCAGGTACATGCCCTTGATCGGAAATTGAACCCAAGGCCCTTCAGTGCGTGGGCCCATGCTCTACCACTGAACACCACCAGCCAGGGCAATTATTGGATTATTTTCCATATGAACAACTGTACACCTACTTTTGCCCCACCCTCTATATAGGGAATCCTTGTAACAGCAGTATCTCCATCTCCCTGTAGGTAAATCGGCTGCTTTGTATGAAGACTGTCAAAATACTTCTTTTCTCGCCATTCATAAGGGGAGGCGGGAAAAACGAATCAGAGTGCAGGTGATGATTCTCACAGCAAAAACAAAGTAATCAAAGACACACTTCATTATGAAATTGTGTCCTCATGTTTCTGCATTCGAATGTCAGTTGTGCCCGAAAACCTAAACAGGTTCATGTATTGAGGTGCAAAGGAAAAAACTAACTTTTAATACAACAGTCGTTAAATGAACACAGAACAACAGATGTCAACAACACAGACTGGTCACTCTGCTACATAAAAATCAGCCCATTTCTCTTCACATAAGAGATATCTTGTTTTAAAAATAGTCAAAAATCTAAGGAGAGAGACAGAAGCCAGTGCAGGCTCCACTATTTGAAGTCTTTTCATCTTGCCTAGTGCTTCTCTGCCCCAAGTCATTCATATTCTGCAACGAGTCCTTCAGGACTCCCGAAATGCTGTATATCCTCTCTCCACCTGTCCAATGTTCCCCAGTAAGTCTGTGCAGAGAGGTAACACAGGAGGGACTGTTAAGAAAGAAGCAGGACCTTACCACTTCTGGGAGCAGCTTAGTTGAGAGGTCATGGATGGCTTTGACCACTATACATATGGATGACAGGAGGAATATCACCCCCAAGATGACACAGGCTCTGCAAAGAAACAAAACATTGAGAAACTTAACTGGAAGAACTCCACCCTGCTGATGTACACAATGACAGTGACAACGACACAACCCAATGTATGGGGGCCCAATCATAACTTGACATATTCCCACTGTGATCATTCACAGCCTCAGAATTAATAGTGAATCATTTCTAAGAGAATGATGCAGAATTTTATCACCAAAACCAAACCCATGGGAAAGAGGCTGCACCATCCTACATAATCTCACAGCTTCCCGTGAATGCTGGCATGAAGAATCTCCAAGGCCCTGAGACCTCCCCAAGCCCCGTCCCAGTAACACAGTTCACTCCTCAGCCAGAGGCTGCAGAGTTCAGCAGCAAAGAGTGGAGACTCCAGCATGAGACATCCTGAGTTCAGTCATTTAACATGTTGCTTGGTCTTGATCAAGCTACTTAACTTCTAGTAACGTCTATTTTCTCACCTGCAAGATGGAAATGCTTTCTACCTGAAGATAAAATCAGATAATGCACAGAGCATAAAAAAAGTAACTCATGCATGCTGGCTTAAAAAGGAAAACAGGAGTCCACCCTGGATGTCTCTCTCTGGTGATAAGACACCTTTGGCTTTTCCCAAAGATAAAAAGGAGGAATAATTTGGTAATAACAAAAGAGAACATACTTATGGCAAGATGGAGCAGTTCTTGCCCTACCTGGTTTGGCTCAGTGGTTAGAGCATTGGCCTGTGGACTGAAGGTGTCCCAGGTTCGATTCTGGCCAAAGGCACATACTTCAGGTGCAGGCTCAATCCCTGGCCCTGGTCAGTGGGCGAGCAGGAGGCAACCAATCAGTGTCTGTCTGTCTCTCTCTCTCTCACCCCCTCTTACCCCCCTTCCACTCTCTCTGAAAAGCAATGGAAAAAACATCCCCAGGTGAAGATTTAAAAAAATAAATAAATAATAAACTTTTAAAAAATTGTAAAAAAAAGAGATGGAGCAATTCTTGAGAATGAGGGGAGAGAAGTAAGGAGGAGTCAGCTAAGGCACCCGGCCCAGGAGGAGGCAGGAGCAAGTTAGGGATGAGGCCAAGGATGGGTGTGGGAGTAGCAAGGAAGTCTATGGGGCTTGGGACATAGGCGCTGTCTCTGGCCATCCAGACACAACAACTCACAGGAGAAAGAAAGATGAAATATGAAAGAAAATGTGAGGAAATGAAAGTAACAAGGGCCAAAATACCAAATGAAAATGAAAACACAGAGAAAAGAGAAAAATGCAAGAATGACCACAGTTAGCTCTAGGTCATTCCTGCCCCGACCTGATGTCTCCATCAGGCTCTCCCTGCCCTGGCAGCCTCTCAGCCCTCTTCCTTCACTCTCAGATAGAATCATCTTTCATTATCCATCTTGGATATCCCTCTCTGGACTAACAGAATGGCCCCAAGTTTCCCACATCACACTGAAGTGGCACCTATTTAGAATCTAAACAAACCTGTGGGTAAACATGTTCCCCTAAAAGCACTGATCAGAAATGCACAGGTCAATACAGCTGCTTGGCATCTACTCAGCAGGCTTCTAATTCATACTCTAGTTGAGGGGTTTATTCTTCCAACACGGACAGAAAGAATTCTTCAGTGCTGGCTGGGGCGAACCACAAGAGCAGAGAGGGGTAGAAAACACAATGAATGGGCTGGGGGTCTTGGTACAGATGAACAAGAGAGGTCCCGGCCCTATAAACCAAATGGATGATCCGCCACCAGTGCCATATATCCTGGGAATGAGCCCGGGGGGAAAACATACACGCAAGGGGAGAACAAAAACTGCAGGCAGAAAGTCCACACTGACACAGCAGCAGGAGTGATGAATGCTAGTGCGAGGAGTGGGCCTGGGGCTGCTCCCCACAGTCCTGGCAGGGCGACAGGGACGAAGGGGGCCGCAGCCCACAGGGGAGTCCTACAGGAACAAGGTGCACCTACAGTAGGTCCTTTAGTGACAAGATGCTGGAGCAAGAACAGGAATTCCCACAGGTTGGTGGATTGATGCTCCCAAAGCAAGTGGCCCCTGAGTCCCAGCTGTGGCCCTGGGGAAGACGGCTGTGGGCCAGGTGTGCTGACACTCAGAGTGACCATTTCTACCTGTGAGCATATGGGACTAGGAGAGGTCCCATTACAGGGAAAGAGCCTAAAGTCAGGATAAGCTTTCAAGATAAGATTTGTAATGTGGTGTGTGTGTTTTTTCTCCATTCAAAAAACTCCTGCGTGGCTGTCATGGCTCAGCGGTTGAGCATCGACCTAGGATCCAGGAGATCGTGGTTGGATTCCCGGTCAGGGCACATGCCCCAGTTGCAGGCTCGATCCCCAGTCCAAGGTGTGCAGGAGGCGGCCGATCAATGCCTCTCATCATTGATGTTTCTCTCTCTCTCTCTCCCTCTGCCTTCCTCTCTCTGAAACAAAACAAAACAAAAACCCACTCCTGAGTGACTAGCAGAGACTCTCTGATCCACCCTTTCAGATAAATCCAGCCACCAACTCAGTGCTTCTCCAACCCCAGTGGCACCCTGCACTCACCAAGGGTTTGTGTGTTTTTTTAGCAGTAGCCCAGAGACTGCCCCAGTTCAATTTTATCAGAATCTCTGAGGGTGAACCCAGGCACCTATTTGTTTAAAAGCTCTCCGGTCAAGTTCCCAGTGCACCAGGGCTGAGGGTCCCTGCCCAGAGCTAAGTGAGGCCCGTCCTTAGGGAGTTTCCACTGTGGGCTAAAAAGCCACAACTCTCTGGACTGAAGGTGGGGAGGGAGTGGTCATGCCCGCTGGTAGGAAGGAATGGGCTCTAATGGTCCCTAAGAGACCTGCAGTGTATCTGTGTACAGAGCAGCTTCTCCCCCACGATGTGGGTAGGGCAGCCACCACGGGTGCTAGACCTCTACAGAAAGTTTGTCACAACACCCTCAAGAAACTTCCATCGCCACGCTCCTGGGGTTGGGGGCTGGAGGGGAGGAACAAAGGTCTGAGCTTCTACCACAAACAGGGATGCCACAGGAATCTCTTCTTCCAGATCACTGCAGGCACCTCATTGTTTACTTTAAGGAGATAAGTATTAAGAATACAATGGTCTCCTTATATAATATCTTGCTTATATATCTTTAATCAAAACCACACTACAAATCCCTTAAGGGCAGGAACCCTATTTTTAGATCTCAGTGTCTACAGCAGCAGAGCTGAGGTAACCATTAACTGATTAAGTGATCACTGGTGATTTGTATGTTTCCCCCACAGAATTCACTGCTTGCCAATGTTGCTGTGAGGAGCAAAACACTCCTACTATGCCAGCCAGCATGCCTCTGGAATAGCCCACACTGTAAAACAGCTCTGAAGTGTAATGAAACTCAAAAGGAAATGATGACTTGGTTTGCTAAAGTTGAGTTATACAAAACCACCATCACATTTTCTTCATGAATATACCCATGAATATGCTAAAAATGTTTTAGAAACCTATTTTCATATTCTTTTAAATGTGTTGCAAATTCAAAACCCACAGTCACCCCTCCTTCCCCACTGCTGGGAGCCTGTGTGTCAGAGCAGCTCCAACCTAAGGCAGCTATTATTAGCAGAGGGTGTGATGCTATTTTTGATGTTTTATGAATAATATATTGTGTTTACACAGCAGCTTTCTCCTCGGGCACTCCAAGTTCTGCACATCAACTCATAAATGTCCCAGAGGCCACTCCCCAGACTGGGGTTTTGGTTTTTCCGCTACTTCATAGATTGGGGTGGGGAGAGGTATGTTTCATCAATACAAGTGGGGGAGTCAAAGACTAAGAAGCTTGTCCAAGGTCACCCAAGGAGTATGAAATCCACCCAGATGGAGAAGCCAGGTCCCCTGACTCCCTCCCAGTGGCCATTCCCGGTTGATCACCCGGCCACTAGAAGGCCCTGGCATCCATGTCACATCCCCACACCACCAGCGACCTGGGGCTGCGAGGTCTCCAGGAGGCAGCAGAGATGTAGGTAAGGAGCAAACACAGCTGCCTCCTGGTTGGGGGTTGTGGGGAGCAGTGAGGGTGACGCTCCATCAGCACACCTGGCCTTCAGCTGGGGGACAGCACTGAGGAGCAGGGTCAGGAATGAACACAGGCTCCTTCTCCCTCCTGCCCAGACTCCTGAGGAGGAAAACACTGAGTCGGAAAGAGGTAAATAAACTACCATCCCCCTTCAACATAACTCCCCAATCAACCCAGACTGAAGCCAAATTTAAATTCCCACAGGACCAGTGGCCAGCAAAGTGTGGGCCACAGGTCAGCAGCATCAGTGTCACCTGGAAACTTGTTAGAACAGCAAACTCCAAAGTCCATCCCAATCCACTGAATCAGAAACTCTAGGAAGGGCCCTGGGATCCATCTTACTGCGTTTCAATAAGCCCTTCAGGGGAGTCTGACACACACTCAAGTCTGAGTCTGTATTAGTCTTGCCAGTGAAGACTAGTAAATTCTAAAGACATGGTTGAAGCCACTGGCACCTTTTCTTTTCTTTCTGTAAAGACTGCAAAGTGCTAATTGTACAGCATTCTAAGTCTATGAATAACCCTGCATGGAAGCGTCAAGGAAACCTACTGACAGGTACTCAACGAATTGCCTCTGAAATTATAAGGGCAAAACCTACTGACAGATACTCTCACACTCAAAATGATGTGCGACTGAAAGTTTGCTCCCTCATCGACTGTAGGTTTAAAGGCCTGTGATTCACATTAGTAAAGCCTGAGTCTTCTACCAATTCTAACGCATTTCCCAAAGAGAAGCTTCTTCCAATCATCCCTTAATTTACACAAGATCTAAAACACAGTAGCCCAGCCAATTTAGTCTTCAGCTTAAAGTGTAAATGTTTCATTTATCATCTGTCACCCTAATCTCCCAAGCACTTGTAATCTGGGGCACTGTCACTGTAAAAGAATGAAAACTAAAAGACAGTCCAATGGCGAATATACACGGTACCTAGGATGCCCCATTTCTAGTGCTGGTTTGTTCTAGCTAGGTCCTGGGT